TAGTAGAGACGGGGTTTCACCATGTTGACCAGGATGGTCTCGATCTCTTGACCTCGTGATCCACCCGCCTCGGCCTCCCAAAGTGCTGGGATTACAGGCTTGATCCACCGCGCCCGGCCTTGTTGTTGTTTTTTGAGAGGCAGGGTCTCACTCAGGGCAGCCTCGAACTCCTGGGCTCAAGTGATCCTCCTGCATCAGCCTCCCAAGTAGCTAAGACTATAGGCATCTGCCACCACATGTGGGTAACTTTTAATTTTTTTTTTTTTTTTGTAGAGACAGGGTCTACTTATGTTGCCCAGACTGGTATCCTGTAAGTGATTTTATCAAATGAGAAAAAATGAGTAAGAAGATTTTTTTTCTTAGTCCCTATCCCAAAAGATATAATTATTCACACTTTGACTAAAGTGTACTTATACAGAAATCAGAAACAAACATTTTATGAAATCATCAAATGCATCTATGTATAAGTCTTTCCAGACAGGGTTTTGGGGCTGTGAAGTGTACTAATGTCAAATTCTGCTGTCATTCAACAAAAGCTCGCTTTGGTTGGTTACTGCTATGGAGCAGTTCATGCTGGCTGCTAGCCAAGCCTTCCCTGCAAGGGACTTGTCCTAGAATTTCTGTGTTGCTGAGTTACATCCGTCCCATCCATCTGATGACTCTTAGTTTTGACATTGTCAGCATGTTTGTTGTCATGTTAGTCACACTTACTTGTTCGCCATTAGTTTGAACCTCACATAATAATTTTTTTGTTTGTTTGTTTCTTGAGACAGTCTCACTCTGTTACCCAGGCTGGAGTGCAGTGGTGCAATCTCGGCTCACTGCAACCTCTGCCTCCTGGGTTCAAGTGATTCTCCTGCCTCAGCCTCCCGAGTAGCTGGGATTACAGGCTCCCGCCACCACACCTGGCTAATTTTTGTATTTTTAGTAGAGATGGAGTCAGGCTGATCTCAAACTCCTGACCTCATGATCTGCCCACCTTGGCCTCCCAAAGTACTGGGATTACAGGTGACAGCCACTGTACCTGGCACATGATAGTTTTAAAAAGGTTTTTAGTTGGAGAGGTGAGGCACAGACAAGAAACAGATATAAAAGATCTAGATGCCTCTCTGTTAGCAGTCCAGAGAGGACAGCATTCATTCCAGGCCAGGACATGAGAAGGAGTTGGGAATGGAACTGGATGGTGGCGGGCAGGACAGCAGTGGTGCCGGTGTGACGGTTCTAACGGGTTACATACCTTGTGACTTGAAACAATACATGCGTATCATCTTAAAAGTTCTGGAGGTTACAAGTTCCACACAGGCCTTCTGGGGCAAAAATCAAGGTGTGGACAGGATCGTGTCCTCTGGAGGCTCCTGGTGAGAGTCTCATCCCTGCTCTTTCAGTTTCTAGAGGCCGCCTTTGTATCTTGACTCATGGCTCCTTCCTCCATCTCTGAAGCCAGCAACGTCACGTCTCTCTGACCACTCGTCCATCATCACAGTCAGTCTCTGACTCTGACACTCCTGCCTCCATTTCGGAAGGACCTTTGTGACTGCTTTGGATCCAAATGGAGGATCCAGGGTCAGCTTCCCCTCTCAAGATTCTTAGTCACATCTGCTGCGTCCTTTTTGCCATATAAGGTGGCACAGTCACAGGTTTCAAGGGTGAGGACATAGATATCCTTGGGCATTCTGCCTACCGCCTTCCCTTACCACTTCACCAAATGTGGCAGTTCGTAACAGCCAACTCCTGGCTTTTAATGAGTATCGTACTGTTGTCCCTCAATTCACCTTGAGTTATTCCTATATTTCTCAGAAAGCTGCTTCTTGCTTACCCCCAACAAATGATGCCCTACTACATTTGTAGGTCATCGATGGCCTTGAATAAACTAAATAATACGAATTGAAAAGCATTTATGTAATACAAATGCTTTAAAATGGCAAGGAATACCACTATGCTATGCTGTTCTCATGCTTCTGTGGTAGCAAAACCAAAACATATGAAAGTAATTGGGAACAACTTATACATAAGAAAATTATTTGATGTCCTAATACATGTTTTTAAAAATAACTGTTTTTTTTTTTTTTTTTTTTTTTTGAGACGGAGTTTCGCTCTTGTTACCCAGGCTGGAGTGCAATGGCGCGATCTCGGCTCACCGCAACCTCCGCCTCCTGGGTTCAAGCAATTCTCCTGCCTCAGCCTCCTGAGTAGCTGGGATTACAGGCACGCACCACCATGCCCAGCTAATTTTTTGTAGTTTTAGTGGAGACGGGGTTTCACCATGTTGGCCAGGATGGTCTCGATCTCTTGACCTCGTGATCCACCCGCCTCGGCCTCCCAAAGTGCTGGGATTACAGGCTTGAGCCACCGCGCCCGGCCCCTAAAAATAACTGTTTTAAAGCTGTTGAAATCTTGTCATTGTTACAGAAGCATAGGCAAGACTTCTAGCTTCTGTGCTTCTGCAACAATGACAAGATTTCAACAGCTTTATTGGGTTGTAATTGACATAATAGACTGCACATATGTAAAATATATGATTTGGTAAGTTTTGGCAGGTGTCTTATGATGAAAACATTGCCACAAACAAAACGCTGAACATGATCATCACCCCAGTTTCTTTCTGACCCACTGCAATCCCTTTACCCTCCTTACTTCCTCCACCCCAGGCACACATTCATCTGCTTTCTGTCACTATAGTTTTAATTTCCCAGGCTTTTATATAAATGTGATCACTGAGTACACACTGTTTTTTTGGTCTGGCTTCTTTCACTTACATAACTATTTTGAGACTCAGCTATGTCAAGGCATGTATCAACAGTTCATTCCCGCCACCTTTTTTTTTTTTTTTGACAAGTTTTGCTCTTGTCACCCAGGCTGGTGTGTGATGGTGCCATCTCAGCTCACTGCCACCTCTGCTTCCTGGGTTTAAGCAATTCTCCTGCCTCAGCCTCCTGAGTAGTTGGAATTACAGGCACATGTCACCACGCCCGGCTAATTTTTGTATTTTTAGTAGAGATGAGGTTTCACCATGTTGGCCAGCTGGTCTCAAACTCCCGACCTCAGGTGATCCACCTGCTTCATTCTCCCAAAGTCTGGGATTACAGGCGTGAGCCACTGCGCCCGGCCAGTTCATTCCCTATTATGGCTGAGTAGTGTTCTATCATATAGATATACCACAGTTTCTTCATCCTGTTGACGGACATTTGGGTTGTTTTCAGAGTTTTGGCTATTACAAATAAAGTTGCTATGGAATATTCATTTACACGTATTTTTATGGACACATGCTTTCATTTCTGTTGAGTAAAAACCTAGGAGTAGAACTGCTGGGTCATATGATTGGTGTATGTTTAACTTTTTTCTTTTTTGAGGCAGAGTCTTGTTCTGTGACCCAGGCTGGAGTGCAGTGGTGCAATTTCAGCTCACTGCAACATCCGCCTCCTGGGTTTAAATGATTCTCTTGCTTCAGCCTCCCGAGTAGCTGGGATTACAGGCATATGCCATCAAATCTGGCTAATTTTTGTATTTTTAGCAGAGACGGGGTTTCACCATGTTGAACAGGCTGATCTGGAACTCCTGACCACGTGATCTGCCCACCCCAGCCTCCCAAAGTGCTGGGATTACCGGCGTGAGCCACTGTGCCTGGCCTTGCATGTTTACCTTTTTAAGAAACTGTCAACCTATTTTCCAAGGAAAGTGTACCATTTTCCAATTCCACCAGTAGTGTTTGAGAAAGAATTAGGGTTTTTATTTATTTATTTTTAATTTTTTTCTTTTTTTTATCTTTCAAGAAAGATGTTAAGAAAGGAATTACAGGCCAGGCGCGGTGGCTCAAGCCTGTAATCCCAGCAATTTGGGAGGCCGAGGCGGGTGGATCACGAGGTCAAGAGATCGAGACCATCCTGGTCAACACGGTGAAACCCCGTCTCTACTAAAAATACAAAACATTAGCTGGGCATGGTGGTGCGTGCCTGTAATCCCAGCTACGCAGGAAGCTGAGGCAGGAGAATTGCCTGAACCCAGGAGGCGGAGGTTGCGGTGAGCCAAGATCGCGCCATTGCACTCCAGCCTGGGTAACGAGAGCAAAACTCCGTCCCAAAAAAAAAAAAAAAGAAAGGAATTACAGTTTTAAAACTTTAGAAGTATCTCATGATGACTGCTTGAACACTCAGCATATGCAAGATATACAACATCATGGGCTGGCGAAGTTATGTGGGCACGTGAGGAGCAGGCAGCATATGAACAAGGTATATATACACTAATAAAGACAATGCACTCTGCAGTGTGGCAGGAGGTGCTGGGTGGGAGGTCCAGATAATGAATGTGGAAGGAGGCTATGGGCTGCCATAAGGACAGAAAGCTGATTAGACGAGGTGGCACTCCAGCTGACAGAAAGGAGCAATAAGCAAATTCATTCGTTTGGTTAAATGAACATATCGACACCTAAGCACTCCTGTTCATAAGAACCAACCACTGCTTTATTACTCATCTGCCTCCTAGAGCTGCAGTCCCCAGACTTTTTGGTACCAAGGACTGGTTTTATAGATGTTATAAGTAAAATTTTCAGTGCCACAAAAGAAGTAGTACTCAAATATCAATTTCCTCAGCAAGGCAATTTACTTCTATAGAAGGGTGCTGCTCATGGAACAATGGCGAGTGCCACCTGGATGAGGGAGGGGAAGGGGTACTTGTGCCTGACGGAGGTCGCCTTACTGCTGTGTCATTCCCCTATTGGCTGAGGTTAGACCACACAGTCTAGTCTAATTCTGATTGGCTATTTTAAAGGCCGCCAGGGTACACGCCAAAATGGTGGGGTGAGTAGTTTGGTGGGAAGGACAGTTACCGCAGGTCAGAGCAGGTAGCCAGGGGTCAAACTAGGTGACAGGAGCAGGGACCAGGATGAGTCAGGATGGAGCAGGGGACCGGGGGAACAGATGTGAACTACCGATTAGAACTGGTGGAAAAGGTTGTTTACTGAAACTACAAAGAAGGTAAACTTTAAAAAGGAGAATTAAAGAATAAGAGAGCTGAACATACTGACAAACTGATTCTTTGAAGGGAAACTTGCGGTTCACTATATCTAACATAGAAGACAATTTTTCTACAGACGCATGGGGGGGCGAGTGAGGAGCATGTTTTTGGGAAGAAAGCGTCCCACCTCAGATCATCAGGCATTGTTTAGATTCTCAGAAGGAATGCGCAACCTAGCTCCCTCACGTGCACAGCTCACAGTAGAGTCCACACTCCTATGAGAATCTAATGCTGCCACTGATCTGATGGGAGGAGGAGCTCTGGTGGCAGTGAGAACAGTGGGGAGCGACTGTAAACACAGATGAAGCTTAACTTGCCTGCATGCTGCTCACTTCCTGTGTGATCCGGTTCCTAACAGGCCTCCGACCCATACTGGTCCGTGGCTAAGGGGTTTGGGGACCGCTGTCCTAGAGGTGTTTGTTGGCATCTGTCTCAGTTAGTTACTGCTACATACCGATTCACCCCAAAATGAGTGACTTAAGACAATAATCATTGATTCTTCCTCACGTGTTTGTGGGTTAAGGGGGCAGTTTTGCTGACTTGCACTACCTTGGCTCAGTGGCTGATCTCAGTGCTAGTCAGCCAGCATTTAGCTGAATGGCTCTGCTGCTTGCCTTGCTCCATGTGGTCCCCTCCTCCAGCAGGCTAGTCCAGGCATCATAATTTAGGCAGGAACTGCCACATTTTCTTGGCCAAAGCCAGTCCGAAGGCCAGTACAGATTCAGGAAATAGAGTGGAGCTGCAAAGTCACTGAAAATGTGCAGGGAATTGGAGCCGTTTTCCATCAATCTACCACATCACTTGAGACCAGACTGTCAACCATCTTTCAATATCCAATGCAATTCCTTATCTGACAGTGTCATCTAGCTAGAACGTAGCTGAGACCAAAGAAAGCAATAGGTCCTCTGAGCCAGTTCTAAGATGTATGGCTGTCTGAATGGCAGGCTCATGACGGATTACAACCTTTAAACTTGGTGGCTCAGGCCTGTAGTCCCAGCACTTTGGGAGGCCGAGGCGGGCAGATCACGAGGTCAGGAGTTTGATACCGGCCTGACCAATGCGGTGAAACCTTTTCTCTACTAAAAATACAGAAATTAGGCGGGCATGGTGATGCATCCCAGCTACTGAAGAGGCTAAAGCAGGTGAATCGCTTGAACCCGGGAGGCAGAGGGTGCCGTGAGCCGAGATTGTGTCACTGCACTCCAGCCTGGGCAACCAAGCCAGTGTCTCAAAAAAAAAAAAAAAAAAAAAAAAAAAAAAAAAAAAAAAAAAAAAAAAAAAAAAAAAGAATTAGAAGCTGAACCAGAGTGGTCAGGGGCTGAGCATACAGTCTAGAACACAACAGTCCAATAGGATTAGAGCCTGAAAGGGACAGACGGTATTTGGTGTTTTGTTTCAATAAGTGTACAATTCATTTTACGAAGATCCTCGCCCCAAATGACTTCAATTTCATATGATAGTGTTTTGCGTCCCGTCACCACCTGGAACGACCTCCCTAAGGGACCGCTGCACCGGCAACCAAAGCAGCACTGATTTCCTAGGAGGCCTCACTCCAGGGGCTGCTGTGCCGGCCTCTTGCGAACGAGCCGTCTCTGACTTCCGCGGAAACCCCGTCGGCGGGTCCTGGGAACCGTCCGCTTTCCGGGAGGAGCCGAGGCAGGACAGCCTAGCGGCCGGTTTCCTACGCAGCCCACGGAACACACGTCTCTTCTCGGAATCCGTTCTCGGGCTCCAGCAGCGCCGCGCCCGCGTCTCCGGGAGCCGGTCGGACAGGAAGGCCCCGCGGCGGCCGAGGGGGGCAGCCGTGTGGGCCCCGAGGCGGGCAGCCGTGTGGGCCCCGCCCTTGCCCCGCCTCTTGCCCTCTTCCGGGCGCCGTTCCCCCACGGCATTGCCCGGGGACACCCATGAAACGCATCCTCACACGGTGACTGCCCCGGGAACGCTCATTTTAAATCAACGCCATGCGGGACGTGGATTTTCCACTCCTGACCGGCCCACGCCACCCGGCGAAATACTGTGCTGCCTACGACCCTTCCAGCTTCGTCCATCGCCAGGTCCTGGCCCGAGCCCGGTGCCCCGCTGCGCCCCGCCCCCGCGCCCATCCCCGGCCCGCGCCCATCCCCGCCCCGCGCCCTTCTCGGGCTCACAGCGCCTCAGCGCACTGGGGTCTTCTGAAGGAACCGGAACTCGGCGGGAAAGCGCACCGGGGCGGGGCCTCTGCGTGCGGCACTGCGCGTGCGCGCGCGACCTCTCGCGTCATTTGGCCGCGCCCAGGTTTTACGGCACCGGCCGTAGGTCCAGGAAGCGCTGGTGACGGGGGACCGGAGGTTGTCCTTGGCAGGTTTTCCTCGGCGCTTCTCCATGGAGGAGGCGGTACGCACGGCTGCACCCCCGAATGCTCGCACCTGTCACTGGACGGCGACGAAAGCGGTGGCCGCGCGAGCGCAGGACTGGGCGGCCTGTGTGGGGGTGTGAGCCGCGGCGCCCCGGGCAGCAGCGCGGCCGGCCTGCGGACCAGGGTGAGGTCGCCACGCCTTCCTTTCGGGCGAGCGCCGGGGGCTGACCTGCGGGCGAGCCTGCCCGCCTGGAGTCCGAGAGGGGCTCTTCAGGCAACTTTCCTTTCCGGTGTTCTGAGTCGGAAGCGGTTTTCCGGGTAATCCGTCGTGGAGCGGACTGCCGTTCGGCCCCGCGGAAGCCTGGCTGGCTGGCCGTGTCGGGGTCGCGTGTTCGCTGAGATAGTTTCGTTTGTCTCGGTGAGTGTTAGAAGGCGGCTCCAGCTGCTGTGGGGATCATAACTGGTAGTTAAACGGACCTTGGAAGTCTGCTGTAACGTTCTGAGCCTGGCTGTTGTAGCTTCCTAACTTTTATGAAATCACGGAATCCTGTTTTCCTCACTAAGAACTCTTGTGTGTTTAGTTTTGGGTTTGTGCCTCAGTTTCTTTTTTTTCTTTTAACTCCAGAATTTAAATACAAGCCTCTTTAATTTCTGTACTAGTTTGTCAGTTCGTTTAATACAGGACTGCACGTTAAGTTCTGCTTTTAGAAATTCTGCCATTTGCCCGGCTAATTCTTTTTTTTAATAAGGGGAAATATGAGAGTCGAGAGTTTCCATTCCAGTGAGCTGCCTGTCGAAGCAGTAGTTACGCTCGATTGAGTAGGTTTTTTGTTGATTGGCTAGCAAAATGAGTATGAAGGCTAGTAACCAAATTTAAAACGTACTCAGTAACTTTAGTCGTTTTGCCTGCTTCTGTCTTTTCTTCTTTCCAGGCTGGAGCTACTCGGCCAGGGTTTAAGACTTTAAATGGGAATAAAGGGTAGTATTTACGAGGAAATGAGAGTGAATAAGTCATCTCTAACCTCTTCCAGCCTTTTTTTCATAAGAGAGACCATATTAAACTTACATGTAAGTTAAAATTTTAATTTATAACTAATATTGTTGTCTAGTTAGAGTTGGAGATTTAGGTTCTGTAATATTTATAAGTACAGTACTGCTTTAAAAACTTTTTACCAAGTGAGAGGTTGGAAAAAATGAAAGCTAACTTTATGTATATATTTAATTTTTTTGAGACAGGGTCTTGCTCTGTCTCCAGGCTAGAGGGTGCGCTCTGGGCTCAGTGCAACTTCTGCTTCTCGGGCTCAAGGCATCCTTACACTTCATCCTCCCCAGTAGCTGGGACCACAGACATACGCTACCATGCCTCGCTAATTTTTGTTAATTTTTTTAGAGCCGGGGGTTTCACTGTGTTAAACAGTTTCGTCTCCAGCTCCTACTCTCTAGTAATTCAGCCACCTTGGCCTCCAAAGTGTGGGGATTACAGGCCTGAGCCACCGAGCCGGACCTAAGCTAACTTAAATTGCAGTGGAAACCAAGCAGTAAAGATTTAGTAAAGACTAAGAGCGCTGGATATATATTTTTTTTCTGAGAGGGAGACTTGCTCTGTCACCCAGGCTGGAGTGCAGTGGCACAATCTCGGCTCACTGCAACCTTGGCCTCTTGGGTTCAAGCATTTCCCCTGCCTCAGCCTCCCGAGTAGCTGGGGTTACAGGCTCCCATCACGTCACCCGGCTTATTTTTGTATTTTTAGTAGAGACAGGGTTTCCCCATGTTGGCCAAGATAGTCTGGAACTCCTGAACTCAGGTGATCCGCCTGCCTCTGCCCTCCAAAGTGCTGAGATTACAGGCCTGAGCCACTGCCTCTGACCTAAGAGCTCGGAAGTTTCAATGTAATATGGGCAGCTGGGAGTAGAAGTAAAGTCCCTTTCTGTGTGGTCCTCTTCATGTGACTCTTACCTCTGGGAGGTTTGGTTTCTTAGGTGTAAAGTGATCTTTCATCTCATTGTTGTGTAGACTAGAAATGACGCATGGAACAGTGCCTCGGTAGTCGGTGCTCAGTAAGTGGTAGCTGTTGTTAGGGAGAGATCATAATAAAAAGAATTTCACGTGTTTTCAGAATATTTCTAATATGTAAATACGGTTTCTTCATATTTAAAACGCATACTTTGAATATTACATTTTTTCCCCATAGAAGGTGTAATAAGCTTAAACTCTGATTTGGTTGCTTTACACTGTGATATTGAACAGAAAGATAAGACTTCCCTAGAGAATAAAAGGCAGGGTGGGAGTGGGAGAGGAAACGGGAGATTTAGGTCACAGGATACAAAGTAGCAGATATTCAGGATGTACACCTGGAGAACTGCGGTCAATAAAATTAGAGATTTTCCTTAAATGAGTGGATTTTAGCTGCTTTTGTCATAAAAAAGTATATGAAATGATAGGTATGTTGATTTCTTTTACTATAGTAACTTTGTTACTATCTGTATGTTTCCCATCCCATAAATCTCAAATATACACAATTTAAAAAGGTTTATCTGCTTTGTAGAATTAAAAGCACCCCTCAGAGCAGAGCATGCTTGGTCTTAAACATTTCTGCATATCTAACTGAATTTGTTTTATGTAAATAAACTTGAAATAGGACTATTTAAATAGTTCTATAAGGATTCCAGATGAAAATAAATTATGATCTGGCCAAATAAATGGGTTGGAGATCTGTTCCATGCCTTTTGTACTTGGTATGGCCCATAGGGCCTCACGTGATCTGACACTCACTTTTTTTTTTTTTTTTTTT